GCATATTCTGGGACAACTGGACAGGCAGGTGCGTCTAGATCACAGGGAGGAGGACGTTCAGATGAGGTGGGGGATATGCAAGGACTCTGTGAGCTGAACAGCACCCAAACTCTGCTTCTCATGTCTGCCCCACTCAGAAAGCACCTCATGAAGCACTCTCAACTTCTTACCCAACCCCAAGGACGCCTGACAGCTTCTTATGCCACCACCCACTTCTGCTTTTACAGAGGGGGAAACTGAGGCTGAAAGCTCATTGGCATGTCCAGGGTCACACTGCTGGTACCTGGCCTGACAGCATTACCAGGCCAGGCTCTCTGTATTCCCCACATCCAGCCCCAGGCAAGGCATAGAGCAGGGCTCAAGAAAGGATGGATGATGGAACACGCATGAGGCCCTGGGCCCTCTGACTCCAAATCTAGCCCAGTGTCCCACCCAGGAGAAAGGGCTTCTGAGAGGAAGAGAGGGAGGGGCCCCAGCCCTGACCATGACTCAGCCTCAGCGTCCCACCTGCTGATGGCAGTCAGCATCTGCGAATCCGTCACACTGTCATCATTGCTGAGGTTCCGGACAACACCATCCATGAGCTCCAATGGGAGGTGCTGAACCACGCTGGCCAAGGCGCTAGATGGTGGCTCCTCCTCTGAAACAGGGGACAGGGCTGAGCTCAGCAGGGAGGCAGGCCTCCTCCCTTCCCCCAGCACACCATGCCCTGCAGCAGCCAACGAACCAGGCTGGGCCTCTGCGAAGAGCACAGCAGAGGCCACCTCCTCTGCTATAGCAAGCAAAGTCTCTGGTTCCACCTAAACTCACTCAACAAACCTTCACTAGCACAGCCTTGAGGCTATTCCTGTGCTGGGCACAGACAAGCACTGATCAACAGTGGGTGTAAGGGCAAGGCCTTTAGAAGGGGAAACGCTGGGGCTAGAGAAGGTGGGAGGGCTGTGTGGACTGGAGAAAGGAGATACTCCAAGTGGAGCCGCACAGAGCCCTAGATGGGAAAGAGCATTTCCTTCTCGAAGTCTACTGTCCTCCGTTCTTCACCCAGCCGGGTGCATTCCCTTCCCTTCCCCTGGAGAGCCTCATCATCAGGAAAGGCACACATCTGCTTTCACTCACTTGCACTGTAGTCTAAGTTCCACGGTTGTCAATGGAGGATCAAGATTTTACGTTTCCGAGTCTGCACAGCAGACTCCATCACCTCTCCAGACCCTCACCTCTGCCTGCCCAGGGAACCTTGCCCCTGCTGCCAGGTGCCACCAATCTGTCAACTCCTGGCTCTAAAGTGATAGCTTCTATCAAACTCACCTAACCCGAAGGCCATAATGACGCCCGCTACCCCGCCCCAAATCCTGTGGTTTGCTCAACTTCCTGTTCCTCCCTCTAGCCAGACTGACCCGTGTCCTCCCTACATTTCCAACACCTACTGCAGGAGAGGACCCACAGCAAGTGTTCTAGATAGTTGTGCCACCTACATGAAGACAGGCTGCAGTCCTCCACCTGAGCATTCGCCCCTGGCACACTCGGGCCACATGGGCGCCCGCATGCAGAGATCCGCACGTACAGCCACCTGCCCAAGCGCCCACCCAGGACCTCGACGTTGCCGCGCTCCTGCCCCGGCCGCACACGCACCTGTGCAGGAGATGACCGCGAACAGCTCTTTGAGGCAGGGAAGGATGGCGGCGGGCTGTGCGCGCCACAGCTGCGCCAGGAGCCCGCTCACCTGCTGGGCCTGCTCCAGGAACTCCACGGCGCCCTC